AGCCAAAGGTGGTATTTGCCAGTTCTCCAAACTACTCAAAATTTCCATTACCAGTTCTCCAGAACCTGATGGATTTCACCCATGTGCTGATGTACCTTTACATAATATGGAATGGAGGGGAGTTGTATGATTTGTCAGTGTAAGGTTCACATGCTGTCATTAAACGATTGTTTCAAAGTGAATTCATGTAACCCGTCTGTTTTGGTTTGAATTTTGACATTTCAAAAACACAGGACCAAATTTCCTGCAATATAATCACAGAAAGGATAATTTCTTAAAAAGAAGAAAGAGGACTGCAGCTCACTAAATGCCTCATTGGAAAAGTTAGATATGAAGAAGGGGGAGATTAGGAGAACTACCAAAGGAGTATTTCCACTTTTTTTCCTCAGCCGTTCTTGTGCGAACGCTAATAATGCTATCATTAAGTGATCCTAAAGATGCTTTTTCAAGGGAGACATTTTTCCTCATGGAAAAACAAAATCCAGCTGCCTTTTGAAAAAGCACTTTCAGGACAACCATGATTTGGATGACTGACAATCTCCATAGATATCATTAACTGATACTCTGGTGTATAATTACAACACAGACAGTCCTGCTGGCTGACTGACGCCACTCCTGGTAGAGCTTGTGTTAATTCTTGGGTTGAATCGGAAACTAAAAATATAAATTTTCTTATCTGCTGGCTATAAGCATGCCACAGTTGGATAACTAATGTCCAATTCGACAGACATCTTATTATGCCATTGTTTATTTTTCCGGATAAAGACTCTGCAATTTGGCTTTTGATGTTTCCTCAGCCTCAGTGTTGAGAATAAGACCACTTCCAGGCCTTTGAGAGTTGCAGGCCTCAAGAGAGTTTCTCACAAACCATCTCAGCTCTTTTCACAGCTGAGATAATTTCAATTTTAACTAGAATTTGCTGACATGGAAACCAAATTGCTTGGAGGACATGTGAATAGTTTAGAGAAGCCACAGAGCTGCTGTTAATATGTGGATGATTAAATATTTTATTTCCTTTTCATATTGTCCTATAATTATTCCTAATAAAAAGGTTTCTGGCCTCATTTCTATTTTTTGGTGCATGATTTCTTCTATTTGTTTTCTAATCATTTGCCAATATTGTTTTGCTTTCTGACAGGACTACCACATATGGTAATAGGTTCCTTTTTGGAGTTTGCATTTCCAGCATATTGGGGATGTATTCAGGAATATCCTTGCCAGTCAGGCCGGTGGGAGGTGCCACCTATAGAACATTTTGTACATGTTTTCTTTATAGGGTACAGATATAGTTAGTTTATAATTTATTGTCCATAGTTTTTCCCATTTTTCCAATTCAAATTTATATCCGAAATTTCTCGCCCAAATTATCATATTTTCTTTAACCACTTCTTCTAATTTGTATCTTAGTAGGTAATTGTAAGGTTTTTTTTATCAATTTGTCTTCTGTCCCTTGTAAAATTTTATCTAATTCATATTGACCTTTCTGAAATCCAAATTGTGCCGAATCTGTCTTATCTCTAGATTTATTTGCAAGTATGGCCACCAATCAATGTCTGTACCCATTTCTTTCAGTTCTTGTCTCGATCTTAGTTCTCCTTGATTGTTTAGCAGGTCTTTATAGGTTTTCATTTTGGCAGTGTCCATAGCATTAGGGTAAATCTGTGTCTCTATAGTCGATAGCCATTCCAGAATTTTATCATAGTGCGTCTTTTTTATCCCCTGCCATGTCTGGAACAATGCTTGTCTGATGATGTGTTTTTGAAAATATCCGTGTTGCTTATCTTTTGGGGAGGGGCAATAATAGTAACAAGGTGATGTCCTATTTTTTACATATACAACAAACATGTCAAAAACAACTCCCGCTGGCCGGATGGTCCCATATCTGGCCTACGGGCCTGCACTGGAGATAGCAAGGGATCAACTTCACTGTGCAGGCCCTGGCCCAAACTGACTGGCCACCCTTCCCAATGTGCAAACAGGGGAATCATGCAGGGGCCAACAGTGTCTGGGGCACTTAGCAAGGGCACTCTGGAGTTGTGCAGCCCACGCAGCGCAGATGAGTCTTGATGCTGTGACTGCCAGGCTGGCCCTTCCAGCAGATGGAGCCACAGACATGGGAGGGAGGGACATGCTCCGACCTGCCAGATGCGCTGTGTGGTCAGCTGCCCACTCTGTCCCACAGTCTGTCTTTGCTTGCCTCTGGCCATGACCAGGCAGGCAGCTGTGCAGTGCCTGCAGCAGGCCAGATCGAGTGCCTCCACCCATGCCTCTGTGGTTGGACAGTGAGGTCGAGCATGCAGGGGCCACACCATGGTGCCATCCTCTGCCATCTGTCTCACCTTGCCATACCACAGCAGCAATGACAGCAGGCAGAAGTAGAGGCATGAGAGGACAAAGATGAGCTGGCCCTCTCGTTGTACTGTACAGCCCCCCTTCCCCATCGTGGCTGTGGGCAGGCAAAGATAGACAGTTGGAAAAAGTGGGAGGGTGGCCAAATATTGCATCCAGCTGGCACCCCACCTGCGAGATCACCCATAGTCCTTCTTTTCATTAGACTAGACATACCCAATTCCTGCAACCTTTCTTCATATGTTTTAACCTCCAGGCCCCTAATCATCTTTGTTGCTCTTTTCTGCACTCTTTCCAGAGTGCAGAAAGGATTAATTTGAAGTGCAAAGAAGCTGGAAACCAGATGTATTTGAAACACAGAGAAGCCATAGAGTTTATACAAAACCTTTCATTTAGGTTCACAATGCTGTCACTCCTATAAGTATTTTTTGGGATTGTAGTTAAGATTATGAAATTCATGGGAAGAAAAAAAAATCCTTGCATTGGTAAATCATAATGTATTAGAGACGAATATTCCTTAAATTCAATTTAATAAAAATGGTAGAAAATTTAGATACTATCCCACCGAGGATAAAGTCACCAGGCTGGTACCACTCAAGTGGAACAAGGAAAGCATCTCTTGTAGGGCAGCTCAGGGGTATTTGTTTGTGCCCCAAGAATATCAGAAGGATATTAAAATCAAAATTTGAAAATCCAAGATGGATCAAAATGTCCATCTCTTTTATCAAATTATAGGAAAGCAGTGGTAAAATTCAAATGTTTTTACTACTGGTTCTGTGGGCGTAGCTTGGTGGGCATGGTATGGCTTGATGAGTGTGCAGGGCCAGATTTTCCTATAGGTTAACTAGGCTTCAGCCTAGGGCCTCAAGATCAAGACGGGCCTACATTCAAATTGTTAGCAAAATTAAAATTACACTTTCACTATAGGTGAAAGGGCCTCATAAGTGGAATAGCCTAAGGCCTCTTTTCATCTAAATCCGGCCCTGTGGGTGTGGCTTGGTGGGCGTGGCAGGGGAAGGATACTGCAAAATCTCCAATCCCTCCCTGGGGGAAGGAGGACCCACTCCTGGGGGAAGGAGGACTGCAAAATCTCCATTCCTACCCCACTCTGGGGACAGCGAGATGGTGTTTGCCAGTTCTCCGAACTGCTCAAAATTTCTGCTACCGATTCTCCAGAACCTGCCAGAACCTGCCAGATTTCACCCAGGGGTGGTTTCTATTTACCTCTGCTACCGGTTCGCAATGGGAGTGCGCATGCACACATGCTTCTGCACATGCACAGATCGTTCATGATAACTTCCGGGTGGGTGGGCAGAGCCTCCCATCACCATTACTACTGGTTCGCAAGAACCGGACTGAACCGGGAGCAAGCCACCACTGATTTCACCCCTGTAGGAAAGTAATCCAATATTCCTCCAATGATTGAGCTAAGGTTTATGCCTGAGAGTGCACTTAATGACAAAAATGCATCAATATCTATTTGAGGATCCCTGTGAATGCCAATTCAAATCTTGGCTATCATCGGGGTGTGAATAGACATTCTGGCAGAAGGGAGAGGCAGAAGGGTCCTTACAGCAATGAATCCAACTGGCCCATTTCCCCCCTTGTGCCCATTTCCCTGTGATTCAAGAGATACTTTATAAGCTTGCATCTTGATTGTTGTTGAATTTTGCTTTTGCTCAGCAAGCTTGGGCCTAACTAAGAAAATATTGCAATTCCTGTAGGAAGTAATTATTTTGGTATTGATGAGATAATAAGTGTCGCATGACTTAATATTGAGAAGATGTCAGTTAAGATGATCAAGGGAGAATTACAATAAATATAGGTTCCATTGTTCAAATTCAGGTTCATTTCTTACAATGGAGCAGGACTCCCATTAACCATGTAAAATGAACAGAGTAGTTTAATAGAGAAGACGAAACTTTTTTTTTAACCTATTAAGGAATTAAACCAAATAGCCCTTTGGACGAGGAATTCATCCACTTTTCCAGCAGAGAATGCTAATGTCAGCAATACTGACATCATGGAATTAAAACACAAACACACACACATAAATATACAAACATGCACATACACACACACATATAGATTTTATTATTTTTACAAATAACTCAAGGCATTGAAAATATCTAACACACTTTCATCTTCCTATTTTCCCTAAATAACAACCCTGTGAGGTGGGTTGGGCTGAGAGAGAAGGACTGTCCTAAAGATAGCCAGATGACTTTCATAGCTAAGGCAGGACTGGAACTCAGGGTCTCCTGCTTTCTAGCCTGATGTGGTATTTTATTAGCCATTGCATAATGGAAAGGGTCTCATCCAAAAGACTAGGGGAAGACACACCCAAATCAAACCAAATTAAATCAAACTTTATTCTGGTCAATGATCAGCATACACTTCTAATGGGATGAGTTAGAAGGAAGATTATGTTTTATATAATGTCCCTAAATTGCAACATTATTAAAATTGGATAATTAGGTACAGTAGATATACATTGGTTGATGGAGAGTGATCCTTCATGAAAACTTTAATTAAATCATTAAAATCTTGTTTGACAGAAACAATGACATCTATAATTTCCTGTAGATAGCAGCACTCTACTCTTTTTGTTCTGTTAATCATTTCCATAGCCAGAAAGAACACATGATGTCCTACATTCTCTTTATAAGTTGCCCCCTGTGGTTTAGCTCAGGCCGGAAAACAATGATGTAGCATTTTGGCAAAAATATGCATCCCAGTAATGCAGCGCTGGAGGCCAAGATGGAGAAGACCTCCACAGCTATCATAGCTTTGCCTTTTGTGCTCATATAGGCTGGAAAGAAGGAGATCCACACACTGCAAAAGGCCAACATGCTGAAGGTGATGAACTTGGCTTCATTAAAGCTGCCGGGTAATTTACGGGCAAAGAAAGCCACAATAAAGCTGGCGATGGCCAAGATACCCATGTATCCCAAGACACAATAAAAGAAGAAAGTTGACCCCTCGTTGCATTGTAAAATCATTTCCTGGAGCTCTGAGTGCATGTCCAACTCAGGGAATGGAGGGAATGAGAACAACCAAATAGTACAAATACATATTTGGAAGAGGGAGCAAAAAAGGACAATAGAAAAGGCCAATTTTTTTCCCACCCATTTTCTCATCTGAGAACCAGGTTTAGTGGCCATGAAAGCCACAACCACGGTGATGGTTTTGGCCAGTACAGTGGAAATGGCCACTGAGAAGGTGATGCCAAATGTTGGTTGCCGGAGAAGGCAGGTCACTTTGCCAGGTTGGCTGAGGAAGAGCAAAGAGGAGAGAAAACAGAGCAGAAGAGAGACAAGGAGGGTGTAGGTGAGGGACCGGTTGTTGGCTTTGACAATGGGAGTATCCCTGTGCTTAATAAAAATTCCAAGTAGCCAAGATGTCAAGAGGAAGAAACAAAGAGCTGCCGAGGCCAAACCAATTCCTATGGTTTCTTCAAAGGTTAGAAACACCACCAGTTTCAGGATACATCCTTTCTTTTCTTTATTTGGATAATGATCTTCTGAACATTGAAAACAGTCATCCATATCTGGAAGGGAAATCAAGGCATGATTTTATACATTCCATATTTTTGAAAATAATATTTTATGGGTGCCAACTGTTATCCCTCCCATTTTTTTTCTATTGGCTACCAGTTGGATCATGTTTCTAGGGAAATGCAGTTTTTCCATCGTTGTATCACCTGGGATCACCATAAGAGAAGTACAATGGAAAGGGCAATTATTCAATCCTGTCTAATAAATTTTCAAAATTATTAAAATTTAGACCCTTTTGACGTTTCCCATTTTTCCAAAACACAGAGAAGAAATCTGTAGGGGTGGATATAAAAGCTCAGCTCTCATGGCATTGTGATTCACAGGTATAGAAATGGATACTCACCTTGAAGAACTCACAAAACTACTTGCTACACTAAAGTAGTGAATTACAATTTGCTTCTATTGAGGACTTCCTGGAATGTCTAACCTACCCTTTTTATTTGAAATCTTCCCTTCTGGACATGGAACACAGTCGTAGCAACAGAACTGTTTTCCTTCCAACCCTTTCTTCCAGGATCCAGGGGAGCAAGGGTCATTACACACAGAAATTGGAAGAACCTGGTGATAAACATAAAAGATTTTTGCAAAGAGAAAATTTTAAGCAATTTGTATTGTTCTTCTTTATGGTGAGAGGAAGAATATTTGAATTCTCAAAGGCTTATTCCAGGTATATTTATAAGGTAAAGGTTTCCCCATCCAGTTGTGTTGAACTCTAGGACACAGAGTTCACAGCGTTTCTTGACCAAGGGAGCCAGCATTGTCCAAAGATATTTTCCATGGTCATGTAGCCTCCATGGCTAAATGACAAGGAATATTGTTACCTTCCCACCAAAGTGGTACCTATGAATCTACTCACATTTGCATGCTTTTGAATTCCTAGGTGGACGGGAACTGAGGCAGGAATGGGAACTCACCCTATTGCATAGTGCTCAGGTCTCAAACCCGGGCTGGCAGCTTTTCAGGTGACAAGCTCAGTGTCTTTCACCACTGAGCCATCACATTTTTTAACTATACATTAAAATGTTGACACTATAAGTATGAGCAAAGGGTGTATTTGGAGAATGGCAGGGTGAATAAAGAAATATATGTGATTACAATATTATTGGAACAGTATCTTAGGATTTCAAATGGAAATGCAACCCAAATGTGAATACCTATCTTTTAAATTGTAATGTCATTTTGTCAATTTGATGAAAGATTGATCATTGACAATGTTTGTACAGAATATGCCATTTCAAAAATCACAAATTAGATTTCTAAAGAGACTATGTTAAGTATTGGATCATAATGCATCAAGGAGTAGTTGATTAAATGAGTCCACACCTGGTTAAAAGCTGGATGCCACACAATCACATCTTCATCAATGATTAATTCCTTCGCATTGGGAATATGAGGATCAATCTTTCCAACTTTGACTTTCTGAAAGGATCTATTTGGAAAAGTGATAAAGTTGGTGATGTCGAATCCACTTGTTGTTTCCTCTTTCTCATTCAGGAACACTCTCTCCCCAGCTGAATTGTTGAAAGAAATGCCTTGAAGAAATGAATGGAGCTATTTGAAAGAGAATGGAAGAGAGTTGGAAGAATAATAATGAAGTAGTGGTCAGTATACTTAACTTTCTCTTAAACATTCTTTTTAATGCGCTAACAAATATCAAATAAATACACTTAGAATATAGATAATCTATATTTCAGAGAACGACACAAGTCTCTTCTAATATTAATTTAATGTTACTACCAAGGGAAAAAATGAAACAACAACAGCTAACAAATCAAAATCAAAACGAGGTATTGGCATTACACAACTTGATTCAGATATGATTTATATTCACTATTTAAACAACTAGACAATCAAAATTGGACCATATCTAAACTCATCCTCCATTGTTTGTTCTTTGTTAGTGCTAAGGTATTTGACATCCTGAGACCTGACAAATTTCCTTTAGCCAGATTTTATCATCTGAGACTCAATTATTTTGAGAGAGAGAGAGAGGGAGAGAGGGAGAGGAAGGGAGGGAGGGAGAGGGAGATATTCTTTCAAAGATAGAGTTGTTTCAAAGGGTAGAGGACACAGCTGAAAAGGACTGACATTTGGTCCATTTCTCTTGAAATTGATAGCAAGAGAAAGCTCTCCATCCCAAATCTGAAATATTCCTGAGCCAAGGAAAAGTAGATTAGAGAACTGGCTGAGGATAATTTTGGATAGCAATAGCTTTTAGACTTCTATAGTGCTTCACAGTGTTTTGCAACCCTCTCTAAGTGGTTTACAGAGATAGCATTTGCCTCCCAACAATCTGGCTCCTCATTTCACCAACCTCAGAATGATGGAAGGCTGAGTCAACCTTGAGCCAATGTGCATCAAACTGCCAAACTGCTGGGAACCGGCAGCCAGTACAAGTAGCCTGCAGTACTGCTTTCTAACCACTGCGCCACCATGGCTCTGGTGAGAATCATTATTCACAAGCTAATAAGAAAAGTAAAATGTCTACATTTCAAAAATGTTTTTTTGGGTACAAAAAAAGAAAAAAGACTGTCTTCACACACAATGCAATTGAATTCATCTTGGAACCAGATTGGATAAATTCACAAAAAAGGCCAATTCTACGTGGAGATGAAAAGTTATTTATACAATGAAAATTGATGCATACAGTAAATCCCATTGACTATCCTGAAATTAGGAAAGACATGGTTTATGTTCATCCTATTATTTTATAAAACTAATAGCTTTGTTGACTCAGTTTCTCTATTGAGTTGTAGCCATAGACTAGGGTAAATAAGCTATATTATATTGTGGATGATTGTTGGTAATTGTTGAAATACAAGATAGGTGTGGCATGGAAAGATTACCTGCCAAGACAGCAGATTAGGAAATTCAACCCTTTGAATCTCTCTTGGTTGGGATTTTGATCTCACTGCCTCATGCAAAGAATGTGCCACTGCATAAACAGCATTGTAGATACTGTAGCTTTTACCAGTCATCTGCAACTCAAACAGAGGTGCAGGCAGATTCTCCAAATTCTCTTCTCCAGTACAAGTCTCAGTGATTGTTGAAGATAATTCTGTATTTGAAAATGAACATTCAAACAATCGGTCCCAAACCTCTTGAATAAATCCATCTTTGTGGGTTGAAGGTTTGATGACTTGAAGATATTCTTTAAAACCTTGAATGTCTCTTGTATGCACAGTAAAGGAAAGAGCCCCATGGAACAACTGGACATCCCAATTCTTTTGAATTCCCAGCAGGATGAAATCAATTGAATTCATCAGGATCCAAACATTCCTAAATAATGCACTCTCTTTATTTTTGGGATCACGTAGAAACATGACACTTATGAACCATGCTATTGTGATGGATTCTCCATGGACAAGAAAAACATTCGATTTTCGATTCATCAAATTATTTGAAATAATTGAGACTGAATCTAACAATTCTGACAAATCTTCCAAGTGGAGATGTTGTGGAATGTTTTGTGTGAAAGCTAAACAAACCCCGTTCTGTGAAAGCAATGACTGCAGTTTCTGCAAAAAACGTTCTTCCTTATTTTCAGAAGCAAAGACTCCAATCCATGTCCATCCAAAATGCAGAAGAAGTTGTATAAGTCCAGTGTACTGATGCTCCTCTTTTGGGACCATGCAATAAAGCGGAAATAATTTAGTAATCTGAAAGTCTTCTTGGGCAAAGGAACCATAAGTCAACTAAACAAACAAAAAAGAGAAATTCATTCTTCATGAAAATCATGGGAGAAATGTGAAGATTCCTTGTTAGAAACTTAATGAAGGTCTCCCTACATTGAACATTTGTCCAATTCTGTGTAGATTATGACAATTCTGATAAAAAAGAAAAGCAACTAAAATTCCATGATGAAATATTTTCTCATCTGAAATATAACTAGTTTACAACTACACTCAGTTCATCCCCTTAGAACATGTGGAAAATTGTTAACTCTCTAATACTTATACATAAAAGACTATGCCCATGAGATTCTGGAGGAATAGAAAGGATTAATCATGTCTTCATTTACTACAATTATCATGGAGATCTCCAGACGTACCACATACCCCACAATCCTTCTACAATTTCTAGGCAAATTTATTGGTTGAATTTATTTATTTATTTATAAATCAAATGAGTTTTAAATTCAGTTATTACTAACAAACCCAACCAAGACATACCAAGGAAACTTGTAACCTATTGTCAGATAGCTTGGTGGAATCTGGAGCTGAGTTGAGGGTATCAATAAAAATAATGATAACTTTCAGTTGGGGATGGGCGGGAAGTGGTTGAAAGGCAATCTTCCCTAAAACCATGAGATACGGTAACAGTGTTCCAATATTTGAGGGGCTCCTACAAAGATGACGCTGTCAATCTATTGTCCAAAGTAGCAGAAGGCAAGACAAGAAACATTGGATGGAAACTAACCAAGGAAAGAACTAGGGAGAAATTTCATAACTGTGAAAACAATTAACCAATGGAACAACTTGCTTTCAGAAGTTGTGGGTGCTCCATCACTGGAGGCTTTCAAAAAGAGACTGGACAGTGATGTATCTGACATGGTATTGGGTCTCCTGCTTGAAGAGTGGGTTGGACTAGAATATCTCCAAGATCCCTTCTATTATTCTATCTTCTATGTGCTAACCAGCCTTTTCTATCCTCCTCTTGACACAGCTTCAGATTTCACCACAGATAGTGGTCAGACCATCAAGTTACCTTCTCAAATAAGATGAATTTTGTACTGTAATTTGTGACTTAAATTTAAATTTTTCTGATCTATGATTGTAGTAAAAGATTTAGTTTCTATTGACTGATTATTCTGAGTCAACATATTGAATATTTGGAGAAGGGAGAGCAAAGAGAGCAAAATTGAAATCATGAAGAAAGGCATAGCAAAATACTAATTAACCCTAGAGCACCAATCCTTCCACAATTGCTAAATAAAACAGTAGAGTTTTACAGTGAAGTACTTTTATCATACACAAACAAATTGTAGTAAGAAGACTTGTGACCTGTTGCTGTCTGACAGCCAAAACACCTGTATGATTATAATAAAAGATTTTGATTTAATTGGATTACCTTGAGCCAGTCTATTGAGTTGTGGGGAAAACAGAAGAGGAGTGATAAACATGTATTTAACTGAATTCCTGGAGAAAGGTATGGTAAGCAACTAGTATCTACTATCAATTACAAAACACTTTTCTCTCTCATTCCACCCCAAACTACCTGTGGAATTTTGTAGACATGTACACTTTCTGCCATAAAGGATGATGTATCAGGACCTAGTCCCCCAATGATGGCCATGAGATTCTTCTGGCTATCACATTTGTAGTTTGGAACAAATTTCTGGGATTTGAATAGAAGGTCCAAAGTGGTGCGATAGGTCATCCTTGGGTTGTTGTAACTGTCATAGATGTGGAACCCGAGAGTGATGTTAGGTAAGATCTGGGAATGCTCATTGATCTCCTTCACAGCAAAGGCCAAGGCGAGGGCATGCTGGTAGAATTTCGTTATTATACTGCAAATAGGTTAAACACCCCCATTGAACAAAATAAATTGACAATTCTTTGATGGTGAAAGCATTGATATATGAGTAACAACCATTTCTGTCTCTGTTGTAAGTAAGAAGATGTGAGTCTTTGTAAAACACTCAATAAATTGTATAGTTTTCAACAATGTAAAGTGTTCAAGCTATCACATTTATTTCTATCCGTTTGGCACAAAATAGAATACAACCAGGAAGTATCACTCTTTTAATCTATGTAAATTATGCTAGAAGTGACAGCGCAGACTATATATTTATACTCACTAAATGTTCTCCAAAGGGACTTTTTGCAGAATAGTTTCACACATTTCGTGATTAAGATTTTAACACACTGAAAATGATTTGTTTTCCCACAATCAGATAAGTTTAAAAGACAAGGAAACAAGTGTAAGTTTATATACAAAACCATGCATTTATTCTCAAAGAACTATTAGTCATATAAGTCATTTTGGGAGATCCGACTAAGATTAGAAAATGAATGGAAAGGAAAAAAAATTCTTACAGTGGTAAAAAGTAACGTTTTAGAGAAGGATGTTCCTTAAATTCAATTTCAAAAAAGGAGTGAATTATCTGAGACACCATCCCACCCACGATAAGGTCACCAGGCTGGTACCACTCATGGGGAATCGGGAAAGCATCACTCGCAGGGCAGCTCAGAGTAACTGCTTGCTGCACCAAGAGCATCAGATGGAATAACATATTCAGGCATTTGTCATAGTGAAAATATTTATGTCTCTTGTCCATAAGGAAGTTTGTATTTCAGTGGTTCATTCAATGATTAAGCCAAGGTTTATATCTGACAATGCACCTAATCAGAAATCTCATCATTTTCTAATTGAAGATCCATGTGAGTGCAAATTTCTTTAGGATTGAACAGATGTTATTGAAAAGAAGAAAGGAGGGAGGAAACTTGTAACAATGAATCTGATGGAGCCATTATTATCCCTTTGTGCCAAACTCCCTGGGGTTCAACAGTTTCTTTATAACCAGATTGATACCTTCATTGTTGTTGGATTTAAGTACCTTTATGCACAGTCCTTGATGTTTTGGCCTAGCTAAAAAAAAAAAAATACGGTGATTCCTGTAGGAGATAATTATTTTGCTTTTTCTGAGTTCAACTCTTTTTTTTTCTTTTTTTGCAACCATTTTTTTTATTTTAAAACAAAAATAAAACATAAAAACATCATCATTCCCAACAGTTACAGACAGTATATCGATCGGTTTGCATCTTTTTGTGCTCCCTCCTCTCTTCAAAATATCACTATACATCCCAAGGTTATTTTCATAAATAAAAACCAATTTTCACTTATTTTATCTCAGCATCCACATATTTCATATTTATCTCCATTTTTTATTGTCCATCCATTGATAAAATAAATCCCATATCAAATAAGATTGTTTTTCTTCCTGCTCTCTTATTTCAAATGTCAATTTACTCATTTCAGCACAGTCCATCATTTTCTTAATAATTTCTTCCTCAGTAGGTGTCCTTTCTCCTTTCCAATTTTTTGCAAATACAATTCTAGCTGCTGTTAAAAGATTCACAATTAAATTGTAGGAAGGGAACACCACCAAGACAGTGCCAGGATCAGTAAGGTACAAACAAACTTAGAAAGGCAAAAGGCCAGAGGACATAGGGAAATGACACACACAAAAGACTCAGGACATACCAGAAAAGGAACTATCAAGACAGCAGAAACTAGGAGAGCAAAACAAAAGGAATGGCAGAGGATTAGCAAAAGGAAAAGATTTAATCAATAGCCCAAGCAATCTGATAAGAGTCAAGCCGGGGGTAAGGGCTTACTTGATAACAACGTGATCAGCTTAAGGCAAGGAGCAAATAATAAGAACAGAAGGAAACAAAAGAACATGAGACCAGATAGCCCAGACACCACCCAGTCTCAAGTAGGGAAAAACTAGAATAAGAAAACAGGGCAATCCAAGAACACACACACAAAGGGAAGACCCACAAAAGTAACAAAAGAAACAAAGAACTTCCTTTGTATCAAAAAGTATAAGAATGCATGCTTACCTTGTAACGATGTCAGCTCACCCAGGAACGCTGGTTCGTGCGCTTGCCGGATCCGTCTTCCTGAAACATAATAAAAAGAATCCTGTTTTCACGCAGCTCGCTTCTCTCATCAATTGATTCATCGTGCCTGGGACGATTTCTCACCCGGGAAATTCAACCTTTCGGGGAAACCTCTGCGGAGATTCTAACAAAATATTTCAGTTCTTTATTGTATATCTCTGATAAGAACCCTAATGAAAATGTCTCTGGTTTAAAATCAATGTCTCTTAGTCATTTTTTCCAACCATGTGTGTATCTTAGTCCAATATCTCTTTGCATCTCTGCATGTCCACCACATGTGGTAATAGGATCCTGGAGTGTGATGACACTTCCAACACTTCTCCGATTTATTCTGGAACATTCTGGCTATCCTCGTTGGGGGCAAATGCCACCTGTAAAACATCTTATACAAATTCTCCTTATATGCTGTAGACATCATCATTTTATAATTATGAGACCACAATTTTTGCCATTTCTCCAAATCAATACCATAATCAAAATTTTTCCCCCACGCTATCATTGATTCTTTAACTTGTTCTTCTTCCAGTTTTACTTCTAACAGATATCCATACAACTTTTTAATTATATGATCATCTGAGCCCATTAAAATCTTATCTAAATTAGTCAGAACATTATAAAAACCTTCTTGTTTGAGATCTTCTCGATATCTGGAAAATATTTGCATATATGAAAACCAGTCCATCTTATATCCCTGATCTTCTAATTCCTGCTTTAATTTAAGTTAACCCTTTTCATCCAACAATTCACTATACCTCATAATTTGTTCCCTTTTAGGTATTACTGGATATGAAAAAGCTTCAATTGTAGATACCCAGATTGGAATCTTCAAATAATGATATTTTTGACCTTCTCCCAATTCAACCATAAAGCTTCATGTAGCTGATGTCTTCTAAAATACCCTTGTATTTTTGTGCCTTTATACCATAAAAAGGCATACCAACCCATCAATAAATCATGTCCCTCCAAATTCAATAATCTAGTATTTCTCAAAGTTATCCATTCTTTAATCCACATTAAACTTGCTGCTTGATAATACAATTCAAAATTAGGCAAACCAAAACCACACCAGCTTTAGCATCTTGTAACAGTTTTAGGTTTATTCTCGCCTTTTTTCCTTACCAAATATATTTCAGTATCATTTTATTTAAATCTACAAAAAAATCCAACTCAACTTGATTGGAATTGTCTGAAATAGGTACAGAATTCTAGGCAGAATACTTATCCTAATAGTTGAGATCCTACCAATCAAAGATAACTGCAAATTACCCCATTTCACCAAATCTTGCCCTATCTGTTGTTTAAGCTTATTATAGTTATTTTCTTTAAGTGTGCTACACCTTGGTGTTAAATATATCCCCAAATATTTTACTTTGTTTGTAACCTGCATTTTTGAAACCTCCATCAGTTCTTCTTTTTGCTTTTTCAACATATTTCTAGTCATTATCTTTGTTTTATCTTTATTAATTTTCAAGCCAGCTACTTTCCCAAATTCTCCAACAGTTTCTATCAATTTATTTATTGTTGTTAATGGTTCTTCAATGATAAAAACCAAATTTATTTATTTTTATATATTTATTTTATTCAATTTGTATACCGCCCTTCTCCTAGTGGACTCAGGGCGGTGCACAGCCAGAACTAAAACACATACCAATACAAAATTTAAAATTATTAAAAGAATTACATACTTTGGCCCAAATTTAAAACAATTTGAATTAAAACCCATTGACAAATTAAAAGTTAAAAAACTAAAAAACTAAAAAAAAACTAAAAAAAGGGGGGGGGTTCATGCCAGCCCTGCTTGATGGAAAAGAAAAGTTTTCAGGGCATGGCGAAAGACCCGGAGATCCGATATCCTTCGGATCTCTGGGGGCAAATCGTTCCAGAGGGCAGGAGCTGCCACAGAGAAGGCCCTCCCCCTGGGGGTCGCCAGCCGACATTGCCTGGCTGACGGCACCCTGAGGAGTCCCTCTCTGCGGGAGCGTACTGGTCGGTGAGAGGCTATCGGCGGCAGAAGGCGGTCCTGCAAATACCCAGGTCCTATGCCATGGAGCTTCAAAGGCTTGAAGTTTATATTATTCTTTTTGGATTTTCATGCCTTTTATCTCTTTTTCTTCTCTGATGCATCTATTTAAAACTTCTAAAGTCAATATAAACAACCATGGGGACAGTTGGCATCCTTGTCTAGTGCCTTTTTCTATTTCAATAGGATCAGTCAATTCTCCATTTACCATTACTTTTGCTGTCTGTTTAAAATACATAGTTTCAATTGCCTGTATAAATTTCCTACCAAAGCCCATCTTTTCCATTTGAAGTATCATGAATCGCCAATTAACGTTATCAAAAGCTTTTTGTGCATCTAAAAATACCAAGGCCATCTGTTTTTCAGGATGTGCTTCGTAATACTCTAAAGTATCCAAAATCATTCTTACGTTATCTCTAATTTGTCTTTTTGGTAGGAATCCATTTTGATCCGCATGTATAAAGTTGTTCAAATATCTCTTAAGTCTTTCCACCAATATTGAAGCAAAAATTTTGTAGTCTGAGTTTAGCAAGGATATGGGCCTATAGTTTTTGATTTGTTGTGGGTGTGCCTTTTTTATGAATCAATTTAATATACACCTCAGTCCATGATTTAGGTATTTCCTTCTTTGTCATCATTTCATTCATCACCTCCAATAGTGGAAGGGTCAAAGATTCTTGTAGCGTCCTGTAGTATTCAATTGGTAGACTGTCTGGCCCTGGCGCCTTACC